GTTACAACTGTCAATCTGAAGACAAGTTATTATATACACAGTATTTTTATTATCAGCTTCTCAATAGAGAAGAGCTTCTCAAATTCCTGCATGGAAACTCACGCAAGAAATTTCAGTTTCTCTGCACTGTTTTGGAAGAGCAGAGATCCTTGTTCAGGACCATCTCCTGTCAAACAGCTGATTTCTTTGGAAGGTGGCAAGTCATAAGCTGCCACATCTGGTTCCTAGGGGGAGGACAGAGAGTCACCTAAAACTATTACCATAAATGAAAGCATTTCCATATTTGCCATCACACCAAAGACACAACTAAGAGTGCTGGAGGTGGGAGGTACAGGCACAATTGAAAAAAAAAAAAAATCTAAAAAACTACCAACAGTAGCATTGTAAAGGAACCACCTCCTGGACAAGTGTAATTTTTCACATTATTTATTTCTCCAAGTCAGCAGAAACTGTCAGTATAACATAGATCTATATACTGCAAAAATAGGATACAGATCTAACAGTCGTTCCTTCTACTGGTAGAGCTTCAGCAAAGAAGTCCCTTTGTTCATGCTGGCATACAGAGAACCGATCTCTCTTAAACCTACAGAACACCCAAAAATGCCCTGCTTTCTGAATTTCACGAAACAGGTCAGAATACAGTTAAGGCCACGACACAAATTCATGGTTTTCCATGTTTGGACTGAATTGCTGACACGTTGCTGCACAGGGATGGATATTACTGCTTACCTGGTGACTGTGTGGACTTCTTATGACCAGGAATTACTACTTAACTCCCACGTAAATTCCAACATTAAACACTTCAAAGGTGATCCAGGTTTTAAACTCATGCTAACCAAAGACAGAGGGCAATAGACAAAAATAACTACATGATTCAAGCCAGACAGAACAATAATAATTAAGGTCTACAACCAAAGCATTTAGCCTTGATTTTTAAAACTTTCATTTAAAAAAAAATGTATTTTTTCTTTATAGTAACCCATTTCCTACATTAGTTCACTCCCCTTACTACCCAAAGCTAGGAAAGTATTTCTGAGATTAAAGAGAATTTTTTTCTTTAACATACTGAGAAACAGCATCAAGATGACTTTTTCCCCATTTTCAATGATAGTTCTCCTACTATGTATTGTTTTTTCTTATTGCCAGCAAATGCATTTGCCTTTTTTTGGGGGGGGGGAAAAACCCCAAAACCTTGGGGTTTTGATCAGCTTCCCCATTTTCTTGACCACCATATGCTGCCAAAACACAGATCATCACACAACACCCATCTGAACTTTAATGTGGGTAGCACAAGGAACACGTAAATTGCAGATCATTTCACTGCAAACTCCTGGACAATAGAAAAGCCACTGCTAAAATACAAAAATGAAGCACCACAGGATTTTTTGTTCCAAATATCAAGAAAGCAGTTTAGTAATTTAAGCTCCTTTTTTACCTTGGAGTAAAAGAAAACAGCAGTAAGGAAAATAAATGCAGAAAAAGAAAAGTGTTATTGAAACTGTCTTCCTAACTGACCTACCACCACATCTTACTAGTTTATGCTCCTTTCCCTCATATACCAAATAGCCATGCATTTCAGGCAGATTGACTAAAATTTGGGAAGATGGCAACAATGTAAGTATTAAATTTATGGTTTGTAGAACACAAAATGGCATCCTGTGGGCTCTTTTGGTCAGCTTGCTTTGTTTGTTGCTGTCTTTCAACACGTGCATGTTGTCACATGAACCCAAGATTGTCTCATCACATTTTGCCTGCTCTGCTGCAAAAGGATTTGCCTCATAGTCAGACATCTCCTGAGCTGTTTGGAGCATAATGTTGACTCCACACCTCAAAATCCTTTCTTAAACAGCAGCATCAGTAACAGTACCAATAACAGTAGAGTTATCAGTAGCAGTACAGTAACAGTAGAGATCACACATGGCTCCTGAACTTCTTCTGACTCTTGGGTAAGGAGATGACCACTGCCCTCATTTGCTTAGCTGGTCAAGACTAGCCGAGAAAAGCAGGAATGAAAACCGAACCAATTTGAACTGATACACCCAGCTTCAAACACCACAGTTTTCCCAGGGATGGCTCTTGCTGCAGGTGACTACAGAGTATGCCTGGACTACATGAGATTTCAATTGTATCCAAGAGGGACTGATCTACTGCTCCTTCAAATTTGCGACCTGACTCGGAAGTGACAGAAAATAAACAAACAAATAAATAAGGGCATCTGGAAATTCAATCCCAGTAATTCAGGCAGGGTACAGGGGGTTAAGAGTGGCACTGACAGTACCAGAGAACTAACTCAGCTGCCGTGACTTCAGATCACTGGACCAGGACTCTGCTTCCACAGGTTGCTAATTTGTTCTGTTGTTAAGCAATCCCTTTCTTCCACTGAGAAATGGTTTTGTCAACTCTCCTTTCTGCTGATTTATACTCAGGATACTGCAGAGTGGAAATTTTACACCTGAGAGTGAGATCTGCAGAAACAATCTGCATTGAAATGCCGTATCTATGGCACATTCCCAACCAGTCGGGCTCCTGGCACCGATTTTGGCACCTGAGGAAACTCTGTTGAGAAAACCCATGACATAGAAGCCATGGACAATACAGATGAACACAGATGTTTGATCATAGTGTTTACGTAATTAACAGACTATGGCCCATTCCTAGAACAAAAATCAACTTGGGTTTTACCTGGATTCCAAACTTGCAAGTCCTTTAAACACAAATGCCTGTCTCTTACACCAATACTCTCAACAAACTGGCTGCTGACGCTTTGATGAAGAAATGCAACACCATTAAACCCAGATGCCTTTTTTTTTTGTTCTTCCTGCACTTGTATTAGAAAGCAGAGCTACATTACAAGAGTCTGTTTTCAAGAGCAGCATGGACACACTACTGAGTCTTCATTTGCATTATTTAAGACTTTGTCTTGACCAGGTCTCCATTCCTGCCAGTGTCTCTGTACCATCAGGACCAGAAATCGTGTGAGGATCCACCTGAAAAACATCACTGACACGTTAGTTTAACACTTACAGAGGCAGAAACGTGCTTCAGTGTCGTGAGCACGATTGGAGAGTGGCAATTAAAGGAGAACCAGAAAGCAGCAGCATCCACTGCAAAGGCTGGTCTTTGACCTTGTTCACCGAATTCCCAAAGGCAGCTAATGGCTTTACTTTTGCTTCTGAGCACCTGGTAATTGTCAAACAGGAAATTCAGACGGGAAAAGCCAGCCCGGACATGGAGCTTCAGCCAGACACCAGAGAAGTGTTGCAGTGCTATTACAGAAGGCTGTTCTGATCCATTTTCAGCAAAATGAGGATGAGCTGTGCCCTCACACACCCACAGCAGGGCTCAGCTCCTCGTACACACCACAGAGGAGCCAAAATTGAATGATTTGCAAACACTTTATTTTAAAAAAAACCTAAGGCCTCCTGGCTGTGTGGTACTGTAAAGCTAAACTCGGTCCCTAGGACTCCTGGTTGAGCCAGAAAGGGTGGAGGAACCCAAGGATGGCGTGGAGACACAGGAACAGGCGTGGATGTCCCATTCCTGGAAATGTTCAAGGCCAGGTTGGACGAGACTCTGAGCAACCCGGTCTAGTGGAAGGTGTCCTGCCCAGGGCAGAAAGTTAGAACGTGATGACCTTTCCAGGTCCCTAAAGGCAGTTCATGATGCTCAGGTAACGCTTCGTCAAATAACAAGTCGGGCTGCAACTACGCTAAGCCGTATGAAACAGAGAAAGCAAGCGGCAAACCCCTTTTCCTTTTCGCGCCTAAAAAAAGGCAGAGCTGTACTCACACGCGACGCGTGCCCAGAAGCCCGAATTCCCAAGTGTTGCCATTTCCAATCTTCGCGCTTTTCCCACCGCTCCAGCCGGGGCCGGGCCGGGCCCTCCCCGCCCTCACGCCCTCGAAGCATCGCGAGACTTCCCGTGCGTCTCGCGCGAAGCGCGCGCGGCGGACCGCGACACGTGACAGCCGCGGAGGCGCGCGCGCGCCGGCGGGGGTAGCTCCACCTGTCACGGGCTCCTAGGGGGAGGATGTGGGCGAAACCAACGACGGGGGCCACCCCCGCCCTTCCGTGCGAACGTTACCCGCCGTCCAAGCATCTCCCTTGCAGCCCCGTTGAGCCCGGTCCCTGTTCCGGGAAGCCTTTATTTTCCGCTTGTGCCAAGAACACCACGCCTGAGGCAGGGTGGAGTGGGGCGTGCGAGCATGCCTGCTGCCCCCCGCCGGTGGGACATGGCGCCTTCCTCAGCGGCGTCCACTCCTCCAGCCCGGAGCCCCCGTTACGCAACTCCACCCGTGAGCGCAGCCCTCCCTCGTTCCTCCTCCTCTTCCCACCCCAGCGCCCGCCACTCCCGATAACTCCCCCCCTCCCCCGCCGTCCGCTTTTAAAGGCGCATCCCAACCTGCTAGTGCTCGCTAATCGAAAAGCTCGTCTGACTGACGGCCCACTCGACCTATCAGAAGCGGGAGCTCTCTGAAACCCCACCCCCCTATCATCTACCCACCAATGGCATGAGGCCGGCGAGGGAGGCGGGCGGCGAGGGCCAACCAAACCGGAGCGCAGTGGCGGCGGAGCGCAATGACTGACGTAAGTCAACAAAGGTCACGTGGGGAGCGGCGCCGCCGCCGATTGGCTGTGCGGACGCGGGCGGGCGGGGCGGCACGGGGGGGTCGCGGTGGCGGCGCGCGGGGTCCGCGGTGTGACACAATTACAACAACTTTGGGCAGCGGCTCCGGGGAAGTTTGTACGGGCGGCAAAACACACCCCGAGCCGCGGGGCGGGCGGGGAGGGTCCCCCCGGCTCCCCGACACTCCCGCTCCCCGCGCCGCTGGCGGCGAGCGGCGATGTAAACACCGCTCCGCCGCCATCCGCAGCCGCCGCCTCCTCCTCCTCCCCCGAGTCTCCAGCGCTGGGGCTCCCTCCCCCCTCCTTCCCTCCCTCCCTCCTCCTCCTCCGAGCAGCGGGGCTTCCCCCCGCCTCCCTCCCTCCCTCTCCCCTCCCCTCCCTCCCTCCCTCCCCCTCCCTGCCGGCTGTTGTTGTTGTAATAAAAGTTGTGGTGTGTGTGTGTGTCGGGCACCCCGCCCCGCCCGGCGCTGGGGGGTGTTGGGGGCGCGCAGGGAGGGGGGGGTGCGATCCGCGAGTTAATTACGCTGCGTTTCCATGAAATCGTGCGGAGTGTCGCTCGCCGCCGCCGCCTCTGCTGCTCCTTTCGGTGATGAGGAAAAGAAAATGGCGGCGGGGAAAGCGAGCGGCCAGAGCGAGGAGGACTTCGCCAGCTTGACAGCCCAGGAGAGAGAAGCCCTATCCGGCCTCGACAGGTACCCGCTCCCCACTGCGCCCCGGCCGCCTCCGTGTCCCGGCTCGGCCCGCGCTCCCCCGGTGTCCCCCCTCTCCCCTGCCCGCGGCTCCCCGTGCGCCGCCGCTCCCGGGCCGCGCTCTGCCCTCGCCCGCCCGCCCGCCGCGCTGACTCTCGCTAACGCCGGTGCCTCTCTCTCCCCTCCCTCCCGCCCGCTCCCCTCCTCGCAGCCGGCTCTTCGGATTTCTGAGGCTTCATGAAGATGGCGCCAGAACGAAGGCCTTGCTGTTAAAGGTAAGCGCGAGGGTGGATGTGGAGCGGGGATGGGGGGGAGGGGGGGGGAAACGGGGGATGGGGAGCGAGGCGGCCCCGCCGCCCCTTCCTCGGGACCCCCGGGCCCGCACGGTGAGTGTGTGCAGGGGGTGTGCGGGGGGCACCGCCACCTCCGCGGGGTCTCCGCGCCTTGCTGCCGCCTTTGCCCCTTTCCTTTTTAAACCCCCCCCGCCATTCTCCCCGAGCGGGACTAGGGGAGCGTGGCCATGCGGGTGCCCGTCCAGCCCTGGGACGGGAAAGTGGCGGAACCCAGGGCCGAGAGCGGACGGGCCGGGGGAGGGGGCGCGGGGGCGGAGGGGGGGAGGCGGAGGACGAGGAGGAGGAGGAGGTGGCAGCGGGGGGAGAGCGAGGGAGGGAGGGCGCGCTCGGCGCTGCTGACGTTGCCGCTCCCCGGACCCTCCCTCGTGATTTTCGCCCCCAGCCGCCGGGAGCGGAGCCGGGGCCGGAGCCCGCAGGGAGCGCGGGGTCCGGGCCGGGGCGGGCGCGGCGCTGAGCGGTTCCCGGAGCCCGTCAGAGTGACTTGTTTACTCTGCGGGCCCCGCTGCCTCCATCCAGCGTGCCCGGTCCTCACCGGGCCCCGCGTCCCGCCCGCCGTCCCGGCTTGACAGGGAGCGGGGCGTCCCGCGGGCTGCTGCTGCCCGGCCCGGTGTCCGGAGAGAGGTGTTTGTCTCTGTGGAAAGTTGTTGGCCCTGTCATTTAGTTAAGTAATGGCTGCTCCTGTCGGCCCAAGATGGCCGGACAGGGAGGAGAAAGAGAAGGGGGGGGAGGTAAACACGAAACAAACACCGGGAGCGAATATGGGGAGCGTGGAGTCCCCGGTGAAGGCTGAGGGAAACTCTCCTGCTCATCCCAAGTTCTTTCTGGGCGCTTTCCTGCTGCTTTGCAGCGCCGGTGCCCTCCTTATCAACCTGTAGCACGTTCTGCTGCCCATCCGTGAGCTGCTGACAAAGGCTGTGCGGGCCGAGTGTCTGCCAGCTGTGCTTAAAACACCAAACGCCGGCGAAACATTCGGGTAACAGAATAAGTGGAACTGTTTTTAAAATGCCGCACGGCTGAAGCAAAGGGGGGACAGTGCTACTCTGGTTCCTGCTTCCTGGCTTGTTCCTGTCAGTAGTCTGGCGTTTGACACTGCTCATCCCATTGTTGTGCCCGAGCTGTATCGTGGAGAGTTTTTTTTCCCGCTGCTGGTTTTGGTTGATCTGAAGATTTGACTCTAAAGCGTGTTGAATTGGATAGTCTAGGCCTGTGCTTGTGTTTGGGTGTTTATTTCTGGCAGGATTGGAAAAGCTCAATGTCAGGACGTGGGGGGAGGGGGAAGGGATGGAAGGAAAAGCAAGTACACTTTCCTTTGTGCTTATATTTAAAAAAAAAAATCTCGCGGTTTCCTTTCGATTTTCGGAGTTATTTATAAGAGCACTTCTTCCCATTAATCAGAAAGGTAGGGGAGTGACATGTCAAAGCAGTTAAATAATGTGCGTTAACTGTTGGTAGACCAGAACTCAGATCTACTCTGTGAATGCTGCTGAGGCTATCGGAAATATTAGATTGAATCCCGTATGGGATAGAGCTTAAGGATGCCAGATAGAAAATAAAAGCTTCACATCTAATTAGATCATCTGTCACATAAAATCCCTGGTTTAAGTTTTATTTTGCGTACTGTAAAATTAAGTGGTGCAAGGAGCAATCCAGCCTATTAGCTGAGTTTCGTCCCTTTCTTCCTTATAATGCTTTTTTAAAAATGCCAGTCAATTGTAATTTTGGTATCTACAATTTGAAGTTGCGGGGCATTTTCATAGTTCTGAAACACGTTTTCAGAAATATCTTTGTATGTTCTTTTACTGTATTAAGCTGCAAATCCATGCGGCGAATACTTAAAAATCCCCAAGCAAACCAAATATTTTGCTATTTTGCCTCAGTTTTTGCACGGTGTTTTGTACATTTATGAATTGCACAGTAACTCACGAAGCATGATCTTTGTAAAACTTGTCTCTGAGAAAGGTAGATTATTTAAGGAAGTAGAAGGATTAAAACGTTGCTGTTCAGTGCAGAGATGTTCGAGAGGAATATCTTGGTTTGAACCAGTTTCAGTTTTGTTTGTGCTTTTTACTTTTGAAGGAACGTGCTCGTGTTTCTCTTACTGATAAGAAGTTGCTATTTTTAAGGTATTTTCTGCTTCATTCCTGTTTGCTGTGTGTGAAGCTTTATGCAATTTATGCTCTACTGAGGGCTTTAGAACAATTAATCTAGCAGACTACTTTAATTCAGTGTAGCAGTTACTTTTATAGTAGAAACTGTGGCCGAATATATGTGCAGTTAATTAATAGGTTTTACAGTGATAGCAGCAAAATGTTTCCTTTTGTGCATGGAGCAACAACAGCTAACAAAGACCCTAGACTCCATAATTATGAAATCCTGACTGACTGATTTAAGAATCTACAAGGCAGCGCGTTACAGCGTGAGATTTATGTGCAAATGTAGCAGGTAAGGAAAACCATTGAGTCATGTTTCCAGAGGAATCCTTCACAAAGGCAGACATTTCTCAGTGCTCCCCTCGATGTGAGAGGAGCACACCCGCTATTGAACCTTTTCCAGAGGCTGCCAGGCTGTAGCAGTGAGTGCTCTGTGGGGCCTGGCAGTGCTCCCTGGGTACCTGTGGTTGAGGTGGCAGGAGCAGGGTACCTGTCTGGGGAGGCTGACGCAGGTTTTGGGTTGTAAGTATTTGGGGAACAGCTCTCTGCCCTGCCTGGGTACTTGTGCAGCAGGAGGAGTCTGTTCTAGGCTTAAATTTGGTGCCTGGCTGCAAGAAGACACTCCTTATTTTTGATAGGGTTCACTAAAGTGTGCATTGGCTTGGAGGGGATTGCAGGAGGCCTTTGCAGTGGGAACTTTGGTTTAATGAAGCCACACCCCGACAGGATTTAATAATAAAAAATCTGGGATCTCTGAGGAACGGAGGAAGCTTCGTGTCTAGAGCTGTAATTTAGCCGTGGATTCTATTTGTGCTCCAGGTCTGCAGTCCCCTCTTTTTGGTGGTTTTACTTTGTAGGATGTATGGGCTGTGGAATCATGAACTAAACCAAGCCATGCTGCTAGGTGTAGCAAATCAAAAGGACAGATAAGACATTAGATCAGTACAATTTTATGAATTATTGAAGGTATAGACTAAGGGTCAGGAATATTGTGATGTTGCCCCATGTATTGGGTATGTGGTAAGCCAAAAGAAACTTTCCTGTAATGGTGCATATGCTGTATGTGTGACAAAGGAATGGAATTTTCTGTTGCCAAAATTTTTGCGTCTATTTTGCAGAAAAAGGAGCTTGAAAATCATAGTTTGCAGTTAATGTGGTTTTGGGGAAGAAGGGAGAGAAATTGAGATCACCTTTCAAACTGGTTGAAATGCTGGAAATCCAGCATAGTCAGTCTTGTGTTGGAGAAAGTGCTCACTGTTATGCTTCCGTAGTTGACAAGAACATTAACGTGAAGGAGGAAAAAAAAACCAAAACAAAAACCCTGCTGGTGTCTTGATGTCTCTTTCTCCCAGGAAGGCATTCTGGCAGGAGGTGAAGCTTAAAGATTACTTGTGGGGGGAGGGCGAGGATATCTATTGTATTGGAAGTGAATTACAAAGCATTTCCTTTTTTTTTTTTTTTTNAAACGATCCTGGCTGCCTTGTTCCTGGCAGGAAAAATGGCAGGATGGATTCTCCGTCCATCTTAGATTGACATAAATAGTGCCGGGGTTTTTCAGTTCCATAAATCCTGCAGCTCAGAAAGAAGACTCTCAAAAACCTTCCAACCTTCCTGCCTGCCTGATTTTATCTCTCTTTTTTTTTTTTTCTTGTTTTTTTTGGGGGGTTGTTTTGTTGTTTTTGATGATGTTCCCAGTGTTTAACCAAAGTTGATTTGATTGCAGTGACAAACCGTCGTTTCATAAGCTGTAATTGGCATGTATACAGATGTAGGTTGATGTAGCTGGTCCAATGTATTGGGTATAAGATGCTTGTTAATTCCTATTCATTGAGTTTAATCAGTTTGTCATATCCTGTGGACAAAATCTGAAGCATGTTTCCATTTAAAAGTATTGATGTTGAAGTCGATTTAGAGAGATGAAGTAGTTCCACACAATATGCCATGTTTTAGTCTGTGTTACCTCTCATGGTTTTGCAGCCCTTTTGTTTTCCAGCTGATTTTAAAAATGGTATTTCCTTTGTGTAAAGGCCACATGTGTTGACAAAATTAACAGCATGCTTATCTGTGCTTTTGTGAAGCTTACAAAATAAGTGCACAGTGACAATATTCTTTCATTTTTCTTGCAATTGTAGTGTTGCTTGTTTAAAAATAGTTTCAGACAGTGTGAATTAATATATGTTGACTTTGTCCTTTCAGTGTTGACATTAGTGTTAATTTCTTACTAATCCATAAAAAAAATCCTCGGTTTTGTTTATAACAAACTGCTTGAAAAAGAATTATGCAAGAAAACATTTTAGCAGGTTAGTCTCCGGGTAGTAAAGCATTTTTTTTGTTGTTGTTGTTTTTTTTTAATAACTTTGGAAACATTTTGGCTTGATTTATTTTCATCAAAACAAAGAAATATTGCTTGAAGAAGAATTAAGCATGTTTGTCTTATATAATGGCAGTATTGGGAATTGAGAAACTGGAAATTGGTACCAGGAGACATTTGTAAGGCATTCCAGCAAGTGGGCAGACTCTCCAGTTTCTGTAAATTTATATCTGAGCAGTTCCTTTATGCTTGGGTTGAGTTTTTTTTTGTTGTTGTTGGTTTTTTTGGTTTTTTTTTTTGTTTGTTTGTTTGTTTCGTTTTGTTTTGTTTTTTTTAATATATTGTGCATTTCCTATTATTGGTTTATTATCTAGTATGCTGTCCGTCCTGTGAAGTTGAAGTTGGATAAAATTTTGTAAATTGTGTTGTGGATGGAACTGGTTTTCTAGCATTTTTTGAAG